AGACTAAGTTATGATTTTAAAAAGGTGATTGTGTTGGTTCTACTGGATCTTAGCGCTGCCTTCGACACAGTAGACCACACAATTCTTTTATCACGCCTACAACACCTCGGCCTCTCTGGTGCTGTTCACAAATGGTTCACTTCTTATTTAACAGACAGATCCTTCATGGGAAGGATTTTAGGTCCAGTCCTTTTTAACCTGTACATGCTACCTCTTGGCGGTGTCATTAGGAGACATGGAATTAACTTCCACAGCTATGCAGATGATACACAGCTGTACATCTCCATGTCTCCTGACGACACCAGGCCAATAGATGCTCTTTTTAACTGCATTTTAGACCTGAAATCCTGGATGTCAGAAAACTTTCTCCAGCTTAACCAGGACAAAACTGAGGTTTTAGTCATCGGTCCTGAGGCCCAGAGAGAGAAACTTTCAAAACTCCAATCACACTCTTTTAATCCATCATCACAAGTGAAAAATCTGGGCGTAATCTTTGACTCTGAGCTGACTTTTATTCCTCACATCAAGAGTATCACAAAAATAGGTTTTTATCAAACCTAAAGAACATCACCAGAGTCCGCCCCATTCTCTCTCGGGGCAACACGGAGACGCTGATGCATGCTTTTATCACCAGTCGCATTGACTATTGTAATGCCCTGCTCTCTGGTCTTCCCAAAAAGAATATTGCAAGTCTTCAATTACTCCAAAACTCGGCCGCACGTGTCCTGACTAAGACCAGGGGGCGGGACCACATTACGCCGGTTTTAAAATTGCTGCATTGGCTCCCCGTGTGTTTCAGAATCGATTTTAAAGTTCTTTTAATGGTTTTTAAATGGGCCTTCTTATCTTTCAGAACTGCTTTTATCCTATGAACCTTCCCGGCCCCTGCGTTCCTCCGGCAGGAGACTTCTAACCATCCCCAAAGTCAGGACACACACTCACGGCAAGGCATCTTTCCAGCACTACGGCCCCCGTCTCTGGAACAGTCTGCCGGAGGAGCTCAGGGCCGCAGAGAACATTTATATTTTTAAAAGTAGGCTCAAGACACACCTTTTTAGATTAGCTTTTGATTAGTTTTTATTATTCCATTCTATTTATCTTTTATTATTTATTATATTGCTATTGCTATTATTCATGTATTGTGTGTTCCTTTTAGTCTCACATTTTAGTGTTTTACTTATTGTATTGTTTTTAGTGTACCCAGTGTTTCCTCTGGAGGAGCCCTCTGCACTGGGAGCAGTGGTTGGTGTGGCTGCGGGGGTCGGACTCTGTGTCGTCCCCTGTGGCTACGGGCGGCTCTCTGCTCCTGGTGCAGACGGCTCCTTGGATGACGCTTTTTCAGCTGGTTGCATCTGAACCCTGCCAAGTCTCTCATCATGGTTTTATTGTTTTACTGGTGTGTGTGTGTGTGTGTATGAGTGTTCAAGAGAGCGTGTGTGTGTTTGTCTGCGGTTTGGGGTGGGTCTGTTGGGTGGTCTGGGAGTTGTTAGGGTGGCTCCATGCTCATCTCATTTGAATCTCACAGAGCGTGTTTCCATTGTCTCTGGTGTCACTGCAGTCCGGCTCTCTTCTATCAAAGTGACTTTTTTACGTTTCATCGGTATTAACTCCGTCAGGTAGGTTTGAATCAACGAGTAAAAACACGTTTCTGATTTTATTTATCTCTAATACTGTCTTTTGAATGGTCTCAAGTTGGCTAAAATATATGAAGAGGTCATTTACAAAAACAGAATTTTTATTTTGTTTTTACCATTTATCAAAAATCTGCATAATGAGTGTTTGTTTATTTAATCAAACATTAATATTTAAAATTATATTCCCACCCATGTGAATAATCTCTTCAACATGTTTTGTTATTGTCCGTGAATTTGAAAGAATTTGTTTTTAACCAAACTGTAAAGCACTTTGTGTTGCATCTTTTGTATGAAAAGCGCTTTATAAATAAAATTTGATTGATACATTTGATTGAAGTATTCAGTTTTATTTTCGGACACTCCGACTCATTTAATTGAACAGGACCACTCCCCAAGTCATGTACCCAGAGAGTTCGAGCAAACTGGGCAGCAGCACCCAACTAATTTTTATAAGAATCGATGACTGGATAAGACAATAATACTGATACGCTGATGATCCTGTTGATCATTTTAACTAGTCACAACATGTTCTCTTGGCAGGGCTTACAAGCTGCCAAGAAAACATGTTGTGCCTAGGTGGCACAACATGTTCCACCTAGGCATGTTGTGCCACCTAGGCATTTACCAGAACACTATCGCCACAAACCAGGATATGACAAGCGGCACGGTGGCTGAGTGGATAGCACTCTCGCCTCTCAGCAAGAAGGTCCTGGGTTCGAATCCCGGTCGGACCAGGGCCTTTCTGAGTGGAGTTTGCATGTTCTCCCTGTGTCTGCGTAGGTTTCCTCCGGGTACTCCGGTTTCCCCTACCACTAAAAATATGTCCAATAGGCATGTCTGGCATGCGCCTCCTGTACTGGCCCCTCCCATCTCTGTGTGGAGTGAGAGACAAATGCCCATAATTAACAATTGTAAACCGCTTTGAGACTCAGATCTGCAGTGAAAAAGGCGGTATATAAATAAAGATTATTATTATTACTACTCCACTAACCCAACCCGTTCTTATTTTTTTCCTGTTATGTTTCTTGTTATTTTTATTTATTCATGCAGATCTGTGTAGCACTGAATCCTATAGCAAATTTTCCTTAGGACGATAACGTTTTTTCTTATTATTATTATTATCTCTGCATTCACTGGATCAGACAGTATTTCTGCCTTCAAGTTCAAGCCCAAAGTTGTCCCTTGTGGAGCAATCTGCAACTGTTTAAGCACACCAATCTAAACAAACCTTGTCTCTTGGCTTTATTCAAATGAGTCAAACGTGGTCAAGGATGTTTACCTTGTTCAAATAATTGATTAACATCTCAAATGGAGTGTCTTCCAAGGAAGTATCTGGGCATCTGCACACACATCACACACATGGCCAAGTCACTGGTCTCTCCAAACATTCTGTAGAACAGCAGCAGTACATTAAAAAAGCTGGAGCCTAAGTCCTGACTAGAACCAGGAAGTATGACCACAAATAAGTCCAGTCCTCAGGTCTCTGCACTGGAGAAATGAGTTTCTTCCTTCTCCAAAGCCACAGCGACTCCACAATCTCAGAGGTAAGTCTACATTATATTTAACCTTTGACAAACTCTCACACGTTATGTGCTCAGATGGCTGCTGCCCTCCTCGCTCTGCTCTTGGCTCTGTCTCGTGGGACTGGACGAGCTGTAAGTATTGGACACGCTCTTCTTTGGACATGGACGTAATTATATTATAATCTTTTCTCATCTGATGAACCAAGGAGACCAAGGTCAGTGCGTGTGTGAACTTGGGTTTAATCCGGGACACGGGGATTCCGGGAAATTCTGATCAAAATATTTCCGATTTCCCGGGAAAAATATTTGACGGGAAACGGGAAATGAAAGTTTTTTTTAAAAAACCAGTGCACTCCTATATAGAGCAGTTTAGTGTTGTTCAAAGTTCAAAACAAATTTTCATTTACAATCACATGTCTACAGCTGAGAGGATGGCTCATATATTGTGTTTATGATACAAATATGGGTCTTAACGCGCTAAAACCAGACTTGTAATGAGGCCAGCTCAGGGTCGGGGCACATGTGAAGCCCAGAATTTGGTCGTCCAATTCTATAGAAAGCTCCTTTCTTTTTTTATATTTTCAGGGCAGCAAACGGTTTGGCTAACTTACTTATACACATGTGAGATCATTAAATGCATTTTAGGGTAATGTTTGCTTCAATGACGATAGGATAAGGAAGAGAGGAGAAGGGTAAGAAGTGTTGATATTAGATATTGGTGAGACGAGAGCCGCTGCAGCGAAAACACAGGAGTTTATGGAGGTGGCACCGTTTGTTTTTAGCTTTAATACTCCATCCATCAATCATTTTCTACCCTTTAATCCATTTCTGGGTCAGGGGGGTGGCAGTCGAGATGCCCCCAAGTCTCATCGAACCAGCCCCTCACTGCCTCTGCAGGTGGTGGGAGTCCACAGGAGGACGGCTGCTCTCTGAGTGTGAGCATTTAAAACTCTTTGGGCTGTTATTTCAAATTGGGGGATTTACATCCTGCGTCAAACTATTATTGCAGACTAAACATGAAAATGGTTTTTTGTTTCTTTTTTTGAAACCAACATGGTCTGTGCTGTTCATAATAACTAAGGTAAGACCAAACACAATTGGAAATGTGCCTCTTTCGAACTTTTGCGTTTTGTTTTGAGCAATAATAATGCGGGCCATGAAAAACATTCTGCTGTAGCCAAACTAATTGTTAATAAGCCGCTCTGTAGGTCTGTTGAATTTTTATGATATATGTTCATCTGACAGGGCTGAAGTCAGTTGCCTCCAAATCCACACGCACGTCACTGGTCGAAAGTGGATTGGGAGACATTTAGAATCTCATATAGTGAAATATTCTGACGAAAGCCCATCAACATAACGTCTGAAAAACGCTATGGCTACTTTAGCCAAAGCTAGCCAAGATCGCTCAGAAAAACACTAGGGAGAACGGCAGCTTTTGTTGGCTTATATATTTGCGTGATATCATACATTACTTGGGTACAAACAACAGCTATTTCCCGGGAGATCCAGGCAAGTCTTTTCCGGGATTTAATCGTTCATTTTCGGGACAAATATTAAACCCCTAGTCGGTGAAACGTTCTCTGTGTTCAGCTGCGTACGATGGACTCAGTTTGGGTCTCGCTGTTCAGGTTCTACAGTCCTGGCAGAATGCAGATGGTATGAGGCTGTAGAACCAGGACTGAGGCTGTAAGACCCAGGGATGAGGCTGTAGCTCCAGGACTGAGGCTGTAGCCCCAGGACTGAGGCTGTCGATCAGGACTGAGGCTGTAGACAGGACTGAGGCTGTAGACCCAGACGGAGGCTTTAGGACCCAGGATTACCCTTCTCTCTTCCTCAAGAGGTGATGCCTCACTGCTGGTGCAACCTGGCGTCCGTCACAGGTCTTCAGGAGAACGATTTCATTTCTGACTCGGTCTTGAACGTGACGGTTCAGGCCTAACTTGGCTCGGGGGTTACACAGATCAGGTAAACCGCTACAACTACGAAAGGTTAAAGGAGCAGTCTGTAAAAACATGTGGCCAAAAGTGGTTACTGCAGCCGTCCACTCTCCTGACTCAGGTTTGCCAGATATGCAGACGAATCAGCTGGGCCATAACAGCTGAATGAGACAAGAGTTTTGACAACAACAACATCTTATAACCAACACTTTTTCACAAAGATAGAAATCCTGGTTTTATCCTTGTTTGTTTTAACGTTAATGATTTGAGAATCATAACAAGCATTCTAAACAACAGAGCAGTTTGTTTCACTGAAGTGTGGATTTAAGGGACATAACATTCTCTGTCAGGTTGTCAGTCAGGTTATATGGAGGGAAATATCTGTGTAACATATATTCAGTTGGTTCAGTCTGTTTAGTCTGGTTTGTCTGGTTCAGTCTGGTTAGTCTGGATTAGTCTGGTTTAGTTGGTTTAGTCTGGGTTTCAGTCTGGTTCAGGTCTTAGTTCAGTCTTAGTTCAGTTTGGTTCAGTCAAGTTCAGTCAAGTTCCGTCTGGTCTTCGTCTGGTTTAGTCTGGTTCAGTCTAGTTCAGTCGGGTCAGTCTAGATTGTCTGATTTGTCCAGTTTCAGTTGGTTCAGTCTCGTTCAGTCTGGCTCAGTCTGGTTCAGTCTGGTACAGTCTGGTTTAGTTGGTTCAGTTAATTCAGTCTAGTTCAGTCTGGTTAGTCTGGTTCAATTGGTTCAGTTGGGTTCAGTCTGGTTTAGTCTGGTTCAGTCTGGTCAATCTGTTCAGTCTGTTCAGTCGGTTCAATCTGGTTCAGCTTGGTTCAGTCTGCAGCATCCAGGAGAGTCCCGGGCACATGGTTCTTCAGCTTAATCTAGTTAAAACTAATCCAGTATTTGTATAGATCCATAATTTCAACCTTTTACAAAACTCAATAAATGGACTTTTTCGTGTGCCGTCCCCAGAATCACAGGTTGGGTCTGGAGCGGATGGGACGCCATGGGGACTTCGAGCATGGTCCAGGGGCAACCAGGACACCACAAACGTCCAGGAGCAACCACCTCTGTTCAACTTAGGAGGTGCGAGAAGGACCACCCTCTGCTTTAAAATTGTCTTTGTTTGGAGCAAAGGACTTCAACCAGAACAAGAAAAAGAACATTTAATATTTCATATCAGAAAGAAAAGCCCTGGTTTTGGGTGAGGGTGGGGGGGAGAAATTGGTGCGGGCCGCTTCGAGGGCGGGGGGGGCGGAGGGGGGAGGGTTGGCGCTGGTGTTTGGGGGGGGGGTGTGGGCAGGGGGGAGCGGGGGGGGGGGCCGGGTAGGGGGAGTGGGTGGTGGGGGGGCATGGGTGGGTGGGAGTGGGGGGGGGCGTGGGGTGGGGGGGGGGTGGGGAGGGTTGGCGCGACCGTTGGGGGGGCGGGTGGACTTTGTTGGGGGAGTGCGGGGCGGTGGGGGGGGGGGGAGTGTGGGGGGGGGTGGGGGAGGCGGGGACTGGAAGGGGTGGTGGGAGGATCGGGGGGGCTCGGGATGGGGGGCGTGGTGGGGTGGTAGATGGCTGGGGGTGGTCGTACGCGGCGGTGGTGGGGTTGGGAGGGTTGGTGGTGGGGAGGGACGGGGTGAATGGGACGAGGGTGGGAGGGGGGGGGGGGGGGGGGGGGGGGGGGGGGGGGTCGCAGGGGGGGGGGAGGCGCGGGAGTGGGGGGGGCATGCGCGGGCTGGGTGGTGGGGTGGGAGAGGGGTGATGGGGGGGGGGTGGGTGGCGAGTAGGGGGGGAGGGTTGGGGCGGGGGGGGGGGTGGAGGGGGGGGCGGCTGGGTGGGGGGGCGGGGGCTGCGGTGGGGGGGGTGGAAGAGGGGGGCGGTGGGTGGGGGGCGGGGGGGGTTTGGGCGGTGGGTTTGGGAGGGGACGGGCGGGGAGGGTTGTGGGGGGGTGGACGGGAGGGGGGTGGTGGCGGAGGTGGGTGTTGGATGTTTTGGGACGTGGCGGCTGGGTGGGCGGTGAAGGTCTTAGTGGGGAAGGGGGCGGAGGGCGGGGGCGGGGGGTTTGGTGGGGCCAGGGGGAGGATGGTCGAGGTGTGGTGGGAGGGGAGGATTTGGGGGGGGCGGAAAAATCTGATTTTTGTCTATTCATCTCTTTTTGCTTTCACATGGTTGTATTGGGATTATTCCATTTTTGGCATGGCTCTTGTGCGAACAAAATCATAAAGTGTAGCTCCTTCTTGACTTTGATCTGATGAAGTGGATCAGCCAAAACACATTCTGAGGTATCTGAGGAAAGCTCCCCTCTCGCCGTCCGGCTTTTTATCCAGAACAATTCCAGGTCTTCCTTCCTGGAACTTTAATGTATCAACACTGTCAAACCACTTGTCAACAGGGTTAATTGAGTATTTTTTTATTTATTTACTATTCCTTTATGATTTTCAGAGGTTTTTTTTTTTCATGAAGGTTGATTGAACAGTTAAAGAGAGTCATATGGTCACGCCCCTGCTCGGGTTTACGCGTCCTACCCTCAAATAAACAATGTGCTTACACTTTATTGCTATTGAGAGCCAAGCCAATATTTACTCCAATATCAAAGTATCCAGCCTCAAGAGCTGTATACTTTGCTGTATACTTTGCCTGGAAGTGGCCATAAAGCTAATATGAAACCTGCTGCAGTGATACACACACACACAGTCATCCCCTTTTTAAAGCAGTCTGCGAAACCAGGACCAGACGTCTCACTACTGCATAAAACTCACACGATGGCAATAAATCCAACTCGTGGCGGAAATTGTACGATCAACTAAGAAAAGAGATTTTCTGTCTATGTTTTTTGTTTTGTCATCGGCTGCGAAAATCGTTTTATGAAAATGAATGATAACACAATCCTCGTCACCATCTGCTGCAAAGGACAAAACAAAGCCCTTTTCGAAATGCTTGAACTTAAAGCAAGGGTACCTAACTTTCAAAACAAGAATTATGCCATTGCAGCTATCTTACTTGGTCCTGGCTCATAAAAGGTTTGGTTCCCCTCTCCTCTTTTCTTACTCTTTTGTTCCTTTGGCTATGAGACTGTGCAGCAAATCTGTCTGAGTTCCTTATTACTGTTGTTAATACACTTAAATAAATAAATAAAAAGGAAAATACATGAATGTTAATTTTATTATTTTGAGATTACTTTTTTATCTGGACCTCGTGTCTGTAATAAAGTCATTTATCTATCTATGTCTTTGTCTATGTCTATGTCTATCTACAGTTCCTTGCAAAAGTATTCGGCCCCCTTGAACCTTTCGCCACATTTCAGGCTTCAAACATAAAGATATAAAAATAAAATTTGTTGTCAAGAATCAACAACAAGTGGGACACAATCGTGAAGTGGAACGAAATGTATTGGATAATTTAAACTTTTTCAACAAATAAAAAACTGAAAAGTGGGGCGTGCAATATTATTCGGCCCCCTTGCGCTAATACTTTGTAGCGCCACCTTTTGCTGCAATTACAGCTGCAAGTCGCTTAGGGTATGTCTCTATCAGTTTTGCACATCGAGAGACTGGAATTCTTGCCCATTCTTCCTTGAGCTCGAGCTCAGTGAAGTTGGATGGAGAGCGTTTGTGAACCATTCCATTGTAGATTTGGCTTTATGTTTTGGATCATTGTCCTGTTGGAAGATAAATCTCCGTCCCAGGCTCAGGTCTTTTGCAGACTCCAACAGGTTTTCTTCCAGAATGTTCCTGTATTTGGCTCCATCCATCTTCCCATCAATTTCAGCCATCTTCCCTGTCCCTGCTGAAGAAAAGCAGGCCCAAACCATGATGCTGCCACCACCATGTTTGACAGTGGGGATGGTATGTTCAGGGTGATGAGCTGTGTTGCTTTTACGCCAAACATATCGTTTTGCATTATGGCCAAAAAGTTCGATTTTGGTTTTATCTGACCAGAGCACCTTCTTCCACATGTTTGGTGTGTCTCCCAGGTGGCTTGTGGCAAACTTTAAACAAGACTTTTTATGGATATCTTTGAGAAATAGCTTTCTTCTTGCCACTCTTCCATTTTTTTTTTTTTTTATTTATTTATTAAAGGGACAGTGCATATTAAAATACATTATGCATGTAAATAAGCCAGAATTAGCCAAAAGGCTATTTTTCATCTGTAGTCCCTGGACAGTTGTTAAGTGTCCTCCTGAAGGGAATAAAATTAAACATATCACAAACAGATAAAACATGACAGTAAAATATATACAAGCAATACCCTCAATAACACAAATCAAACATATAGACATGAACACACAACTGTTACACACTCAACAAAAAATGAAGACAAGTCAGACTCACAGACAAAGAACAAGAGGCCAACAGGGGGCAAAGGTGAGGAGTCAGTGCTGACAGCTTTGATTATGAATGAGCCAGAGGTGTGGACTCGAGTCATGTGACTTGGACTCGAGTCAGACTCGAGTCATGATTTTGATGACTTTAGACTCGACTTGACCAAATATAAAAAGACTTGCAACTCGACTTGGACTTTAACATCAATGACTCTGACTTTCACTTGGACTTGCGCCAATTGACTTGCAAAGACTTGCGTAACCCGGGCCATTTTTACCTTTCTCCGCATCTCTCTTTCTATGCCGTCTCTGAAGAAACAAAGCCTCGCGGTAGTTGTAGCGCTCGCAAGAGAGTTCGAACGTGAGTTCCAGGCAGTTCGCGCAGCAACACTTCCCTAAACAAGCGGACTGCATTCACCGGTGGGTGTGTTGTCTAGGGGAGCTGGAAATGAGCGAGCTGCAGGTATTTATCGCAACCTAACGTCATATTTTGTTCTACAAACCGTAATTGATATGCTTTCACTACAGGCGCCTCATACAATTGAATCGACGCAGTTGTCACACTGTGTGCCGTGTTTTAAAGAGGAACTGGTGAGTCAAACTAGCGCTAGCCTGCGCTGCTCTGTTAGCTCTTTCTTATATTTTTCTGTGTGGGCGCCGAGGCCTATTATTATGAGTATGTTTTTTCTGTGCTCCTCCTGCTAAAGTTTGCATACATTAGATAGTTGTTTTGATTATGTGCACTAAGCTATATTAATATTTGCACTATTGTTTATGGTGCATTGATATGAGAATCAGTGCTTTGACTGATTGAATTAATTTATATGAGACATTTTATTATGTAATGATATATTGGTAATTATGAGATATTACTAATGCTGGCCCAGTTCATACAGGCCAGGTTCCTTCCCCTCCATTGGTCCCTTCAGTCCTTTGGAACAATAACCACTACGGACATTAAACTGATTATATAGATACAGGTCCTAGCCCAATACTCATATTCATATATGCTGCACTTGCTACTTCCCATTAAAAACCCCAAAGATAAAAAGTATGTTGACACGGACTGCTCTGATTTTATGTGTGGTCTGTGCATGTGTAACTGAGCCTGCATCTGGCACAACATAGTTTTGATTTACCAGCAGCCAACCACATGGAACAAACTGTTAGTCCATGGGTCAGAGACCAACGAGAATGCACCAGCAAAATGATTCCTAACATTATTTTGTTTGCCTACAAAAGTACGTGGAGACCAACAAGAAACAAATCGCGGTCAAAAAGACTCGAGAGGACTCGAAAGTCAAACCGTAGGACTTGGGACTGACTTGAGATTTGTTGGCCTTTGACTTGGACTCGACTCGGGACTTGCCTGTCTTGACTCGTGACTTGACTCGGGACTTGAGGGCAATGAATTGAGACTGACTTGTGACTTGCTAAACAATGACTTTGTCCCACCTCTGGAATGAGCCATTTTTTTACCTGTATTTTGAATGTTTCATATGTATTGGTGTTCCTAATTGTTGTGGGGGTGAGATTCCATTCATGGGCGGCTTTGACAGAATATGTTGATTGACCAAAGAGGCTTTTTCTCAGAGGGATGATGCAGTCGCCCCTTGCTGCTGCTCTGGTTCTCCTGAGTTCTGCTGTATTGATGTGAATGAACTGTGTGAGTGGGGGTGATGACAAACCATGAATTATTTTATAGGTGAGGCAGAGATGTGAGTATTTGACCATGTTTTCCCAACTGAGTAAATGATGCTTTTGTAATATTGGACAGTGATGATGTGAGAGTGGTTTGCGGTCCAGAGTTTTTATGGTGCGTTTGTAGAGGGACAGGATGGGTTTGAGAGTTGTGACATTGGCATGTGACCAGACAGTTAAACAGTATGTTAGATGTGAAATGATCATTGCGTGCAATGATCATTTGCACGCAATAAAGGCCAGATTTGTGCAGTGCACGACTGATTGTTGTCCTATGGACAGACTCTCCCACCTCAGCTGTAGTTATCTGCAGTTCATCCAGAGTGATCATGGGCCTCTTGGCTACATCTCTGATCAGTCTTCTCTTTGTTTGAGATGAAAGTTTGGAGGGACGGCCGGGTCTTGGTAGATTTGCAGTGGTCTGATACTCCTTCCATTTCAATATAATTGCTTGCACATTGCTCCTTGAGATGTTTAAAGCTTGGGAAATCTTTTTGCATCCAAATCCGGCTTTAAACTTCTCCACAACAGTATCTCGGACCTGCCTGGTGTGTTCCTTTGTCTTCATGGTTCTCTCTGCGCTTTAAACAGAACCCTGAGACTATCAAAGAGCAGGTGCATTTATACGGAGACTTGATTACACACAGGTGCATTCTACTGTATTTATCATCATCAGTCATTTAGGACAACATTGGATCATTCAAAGATCCTCACTGAACTTCTGGAGTGAGTTTGCTGCACTGAAAGTAAAAGGGCCGAATAATATTGCACGCCCCACTTTTCAGTTTTTTATTTGTTACAAAAGTTTAAATTATCCAATACATTTCGTTCCACTTCACGATTGTGTCCCACTTGTTGTTGATTCTTGACAACAAATTTTATTTTTATATCTTTATGTTTGAAGCCTGAAATGTGTCGAAATGTTGAAAGGTTCTAGGGGGCCGAATACTTTCGCAAGACACTGTATCTATCTATGGCGCTGACAGTTCCCCACTATGTGAATAAAATAAAGGAATAAAGAAATATATTGTGGTGGTTCTTTC